GACTTTATCTTCATATTTCTCTTTGTCAGTAGGCATGCTTTTGGTATAAGGTTTAGACTTAGCATCTATCCTTTTGACCAGTTTGTTAAACTGTCTTCCAAGCAAGGCTATTGCTTCTGATAGACTCTCCTTATTTTCACCATCTGAATCACTTACATTGTTTGAAACAGGGGCTATACTTTTGTTCTTTTTCTCTACATCCTGATCACACATGCCCATCTCAAATGTTTAGAGAGACCCTATGAGTTCATCCACCTTCATGTTGCATATGTCTTGAGCTTCTTCAATGGTTGTGACCTTCATGGCAAACCTCTTAGGCAATGATCTTAAGATCTTCATTACTAGCTTTTCTTCAGACATCTTTTCTCCCAGAGCTCCTGAGGTGTTTGCAAGTTCAAGGACATTCATGTAGAACTCATGAATAGTTTTCTCCTCCTTCATCTTTAGACTTTAAAACTTGGTTGTCAACATTTGAAGTCTTGACATCTTGACTTTAGAGGTTCCCTCATGATTTGTTTTGAGAGTATCCCACACTTCTTTAGCCAGCTCACAATGATGCACCAGTCTGAAGATATTCTTGTCTATACCATTGAATAATGCATTCAAGGCTTTAGAATTCCCAAGAGCCATGGCTGCTTGCTCTTTGGTCCATTCCTCTTCAGGTATAAGCACAGATACTCCATCCTTGTCAGTCTTCACAGGATGTTCCCAGCCAGAGGTTGCAGCTCTCCATGCCTTGTTGTCTAAAGACTTTAAGAAGGCAATCATCCTAGGTTTCCAATAGTCATAATTAGAGCCATCCAGAATTGATGGTCTATTCGTGAATCCTATGTCTTTATCCATAGTACCAGATTTTATCTCCCCTAGATCTCACCCAGAAATAACAAGCAGGGTGCCTGCTCTGATGCCAATTGAAATTCTGGCAAGCACACGATGGATGTTATTATGGAAGTTATGACATCCACTGTAACACAGACTATTGGAGTAATTAAAATGTTGTAAAGGAAAGCAGTAAATCACACCAGTAATTATTCACCCAGTTCAGTGTCAACAACGCTTACATCTGGGGGCTACCAAGCCTGGGAGGAAATTCACTATCAGTAGAATTAATTCAGAGCCAAACAACCCAGTTTGCACTCCTCACTTAAAACCTACCCAATGACACTTCAACCTAGAGACACTCTAGACCTGAGTATACCCACTCACTCCCCATCAATCACCTCAGTGATAAACAGTTCACAATTACAAAATAACGATGAAGAAACACTTAATACACACCTTGATCTTGCTTCAAAGCTTTGATCAAGAATCACACACTCTTGCTTAACAGCTTTGAGTGAGACTCAGCTTAGAACCTACTTAACCAATACAGCAGACAGTTGCTTGGTAAACAAGTATTCCTAAGACTCAATGCATACGTGAAGAACACACTTTCTTCACTCACAATACTCACGTGAAGACCAACCTTCTTCACTCACAAGGACTCTTAATATGCACTCTCTAATCTTCTGTCAAGAGCTGCTCTTCTAGGATTGCTCCTTCTGTTTTTATAGCAGCAGTCAGTCCTTGGGCCTGGGTGCACAAATTAGGTTTAGCATACCAAACCCTATTCTTCAATCATATGCACTCTTGCCATTTAATTCAGGAGCATTTGTTTCGCTTTAGGGCTTCTAAAATGTCTCCTGTCTTTCAGCTTGAGCTTCTAATAAGTTTCCTGATTTCTAGCTACCAGAAAACAAATCTGCTCGCTGGATGTCATACGGTCAGTGTCGTGACATTCTGTATGACATTCAACTTAACTATCATTTAGCTAAGTTAACTTACCCCTGCAAAATCCACATTATGTATGTACTACCATTAGTTATGACATACATACATACTCTAATGTTTTGCCATAAAATGCAGCCAATCAAAAGCACTTACAAGTGATACCACCACACTTGTCGAACCGTTGTGAGGTAAGGTGTGCTTATTTGTATGAAGCTTTCTACCACGGACCTGTGATCGCGGTTGTATCTTTGTAGTGTGCTATGTACCACAATGGTTACTTTAAACAACCATTTTTATATTCTTTAATATATAATATTTAACAATGGTTGGTCTAAACAACAGTTGTGGTATATACACCTGAGTTTATTATAAATAATGTGGAATACTTATTTCACCAACCTTCACTAAACATATAACCTTTCAATCTGAACTAAAATATTATAATATGATAAATTAAGTTATATTAGAAGAACAAGTTGACGTTTAATGCTTGACAAGAGTTCTTCAACTCCTTATAAGCATTTTTCTCTTTAACAGTTAGAACTTTGTTTAATCATCATAGTTCTTCAACCACCTCTGCCTTTACCTCTAGTTTATTTTACAAAATATTATTTACTTTGCAAACAAAATTAGAGGTGGAGAGAAGGGTGGTTGAAGAACTATGATGATTAAACAAAATATTATTTACTTTGCAAACAAAATTAGAGGTGGAGAGAAGGGTGGTTGTCCATCGGTTTTTGAATAACCGAAGGGAAATGTAGCACTGGTCATAGGTTCGATCCAAAGCAAGAGCATTTTTTGAATTTTAAAAACGACACTACTTTTTACCTCGATTTTAAATAATAACTGATGGGTAATGTCATGTTTACAAAATTTTAGTTTTAACCTTTTTTTCATTTAAATTTGCAAAGCACCAAATTTATTGACATTCAAAATCTTCCTCATCATCATCATCAACAGCAACACCAATAACAACAACAAAAACAAAATCAATAGAATACTTAAATATTAAATCTCAACAACAAAAATAACACCAACAACAATTACAATAACAACAACAAAATTCATGGAATCTTTAAACGTTAAAATTTCAACAACAACAACAACAACAACAACAAAAAATAAATAAACAAAATCAATAGAATCGTTAAATATTAAATTTCAACAACAACAACAACAACAATATTAAACATTGTACTTGATACAACTACAACTAACATTAATAAGTTGCTTTGCTAACTAAGAGCGTCTTTAATGCAGGTTTTTAATAGTTAAATTTTTTATAGTTAACGATGATTATAAAGGATTTGCATTGGAATGACTATGACATGATATTTAATTCACTAACTTTTAGTTTTCGCCAACTATATAGCTAATGTATGCTATTTTATAGTTAAAATAATTAAATTAATGGTAACTTCAATAAAAAAATAATTATAATTAAAAAATATAAAATATAGGGTTAAGTTTTAGTTTTTTATAAGCAATTATCATTAAAGTAAAAACAACTCAAATCAACTATAAATTTTTTAAATCCTACAAATCACTTTGGGCCCACAAAAAATATCTTAGTTTACCCACTTAAGATACTCTCACTAAAGATGCTCTAACATTAAACATTTTTAACAAGGAATTACTAGAGAAATATTAAATTAAGAAATCAACCTTGAAATATTTTACCGCTTTTACTTTCATTATCATTGTTTTCAATATGTTAAGTTTAAATTTTAGTACTTTGTATCCAAGATAGATAGTTGTGGCATTCACATTTTGATTGGCTAGTGAGAATTTCACGCTGATCACTAATGTTTTTTTCATGTGGATTAATGTGTTGATAATGTCTTGATCATTGTTACTTTATAAATAGACGACAAAGATTCGTTACATAATTTTTTTCAACAAATTGGTAATAAATAAATAAAAATACACTACTTTACCCCACGATTTTAAGCAAAATCGAGATAATAAGTCATTAGAAAAAGTTTTTAAAAAAATTAATGGTTGATAAAATGTAGTTGTTGGTATTCAAAGGTGTGTCCCCTAAATATTTTACCCCTCAGTTTCTAGTTTAGTCGAGGTAATAGGTCATAAAAAAAATTTAAAATGTTAAAATATAGTCGTTGAGATTTGAAGGCGTGTCCCCGAAATACTTTACCCCATGATTTTCATCTTAACTAAGATAATAAGTCATAAAAAAAATTTAAAATATATTAAAATATAATTGATGGAATTCTAAAATATGTCTTCTAGATATTTTATCCTTCGATTGTCAGCTCAACTTAGAGAATAAATAATATTTTTTTAAAAAAATTTAAAATATAATGCTTTTATGATTTGTAAATCGATTTTTTTTTAAATGTCATAAAAGTTTTATTATAAAATATCTTATTTATAGCAATGATGTTTCTTAAACTACATGTTTTTAAACCTATGAAAAATGTGAGGATATTTTACCCTAATCAAGGAACAAAGATTAAGGTAATTTGTTAAGCATAGCACTAGCTTTCAAGGTGAGTGTGCTGGTTGATCCAAACCAAAGTGTCTTGGTCCACTTTGCGGCCATCTCTCTACTCTTACTACTATCTATGTACGGCTCAAAGTTTAAGATAATTTGTTCCCCTTAATATTGCATTAGAAAAGCCAAAGTTAAACTATTGTAATGGTTCATTGACAACTAAAATAAAGAGTAATTATTATATGTGCATTATAACAACTAGTGAGTTAATTATTTGAGAATGCTTACTAGGGTTCAAGCTTTTCTAATGGCTGTCAGTTGAATCCAGCATTCAGGCCTTTTATTCTTATCCTATACCTCTGGGTCCCAAGTTACTGATTTCATCAAGATACTCTTAATTTGTTATCCTATACTAGCAAGCGCCAAATTAGGAAATCTAAACTTTCGTGATTCTAAAGATTTTCTTTAATACATATAATCTTCGACACAATCTCATGTGAATCATTTTAAGATTAAGCTGGTGTTAAATATTCACAATAAAAGCACATTGGAGATACTTGACAATTTTATACAATACTAAGTGCTTTCCAATACACTTAACATATTTTATTCACACAAAAAAGAAAGCATTCCAATTTACTTTTTTCACACTATATAATGTATCACATTGATTCAAAAGCAAACAAACCCAAATACATTCTTTAGCTTTGATTTCCTCTCCTTTTTCTTGCAAACACGTAACACGATATATTTCTAGTTATACTTCAATTTTTCAATGGATACATCCCATATACATGCTTACGCTAATTTCAGCTGCGAACTAAGAATAATACAGGCACGAAACATTGAGTTCATCAAGTCCACCAAAAACTTGTTTGCCAGGTTTTATCTTCCAATAGGAAACAACAAAAGAATTCAACTCAATAGCAAAAATGTTTCTGCCAACTTCGGACCCTTTTGGGACGAATCTTTTATTATAGATTGCTCTTGTCCCCAAGAGTTCTTGGAAAACCTTAATCAACAAAGCCTGGTATTGGAGCTAAGGCAGAAGAAGATGTGGGGGTCACAACTTATTGGAAAAGGTGAGATTCCATGGAAGGTGATTCTTCAATCACAAAATATGGAGTTAAAAAAATGGTTGAAAATGGATTTGGTGAGTGGAAGTGAGTGCAAAGAGGTTATGTTGACGACACCAGAAGTGGAAGTGGAGGTTAAAGTAAGAGTGTCTTCAGTTGCTGAGATGGAGAAGCAAAATAAAAGGAGGTTTGATAATTGGAATGAATGTGGATGTAAAGAAAGGCATGATCATAATACTTGGTGTAACGCGGATGATTGTGATATATTTGCGCTTGGTGCAGCTTTAGAGGCCTTTTGATTTTGATGCAAGATTATTCTATGAACATATATGAACTAACATCAACTAATTTTTGTATCACTATAATGAATAGTTTTTTTTTGACAAAATTATAATGGATATTGGTCCGATACGAAAATTAAAGTTTGTTTTTTGTTTTATACAAAAATCTTAATTATTTGATAGTTATACATTTGTCATGATGTGATCAATGGAGAATATTATTTTTTATTTGAATGAATGACGAATCAATACATCATATCATTTTTCATCATGTCCCAATGTTTATATTGTATCTACTTTCTGCTGCTTCAACACTTTCTGTTGCTTCCAAACACATTGTTCTTCTCCCTTCTTCCCTTTTTTGCTCCCTTCTTTCCATATCCATTAAAATCAAGCTTTGTCTATTTTTCGTTTTCTTCCTTCTATCCTTCATGGCCAGACCATTTGAGAAGATCAGTGACGTCATCGATATGAAAGAGTTGTGGAAGGTTGTTGTTAAAGTACATCATAAATGGTCGGTTGTCTCCAACAACAAGGAGTCCTTTAAAATGATCATCATTGACAAAGAAGTAAGTTTGTTTACTGAGTATTGTGTCTATTTTGATGAAGAACATGATTCATTTGTTGTTCTGATGTGGTTTGTTTTTATGTGATACGTTTTCCCAGTTCATCAAATTCAACAAACAATGGATAAATACCTCCCAGCTGTCATCTTGCTTCAATACGTGAAAGTCAAGGAAGAAGCTAATTGTAACTCCTTTGCTCTTACCATATTTCCTCAATTGTTGTGATTGAATTATTGTCTCTAACATACAAATGTAATATATAATGTAGGAAAATATCCACTATCTGTTACAAACATGTACAATGTAACCATATTGTACATCAAGTTTGATTTGTCTTGAATCAAGCGGTTTATTAATAGGTGCCAACAACACAGTCTGTTTTGTTTCATTACTACTAACAACATTTTTATATTATTTATTAACTAAGTTTTTCTAACCTTTTATTATAGCATACATACGGACTCTTTGGTTAATATTTCAGGGAAACATAGCTCTCATTCTCAAATTTATTCATAAAACTTGGACAATTCTCAACAATCTCCTATTCAAAAATTGTTTTCAAAGGCTATTGTGCTTCCTCTGAATGAGATTATTAAACTTCCTTATGTATACATTACTTCTAACTATTGTCATCCTGGTTGCCACAATATTAATATACTTACATTGATTATGAAGAGACGTGCATTTTATTGTTTCCACTTCACGCAGATTACCTTCTGTGCTACCGTGGCTACCACTGAAAAGCTAATTGCATCGCAGTACGGATGGTATTATCAAGCTTGCCATTAGGGCCCTAAGGCAGCTCGGGGTGAAAAGGCTTCATTCTTGTATAGAGCTGGCCATTCCGCTGAGGTAGAAATCTTTAGGTAATCTGATAATAGTATCATTCATCAGTTAAATTATGACCCTTGCTATGTCATTCACAAAATTACAATCTTAGCACATCATTAACATGACATTATATAGCTCTTTAACTACAACTCTATAACAATTTTAAAATCAAACCATTACCATTAACACAAAATAACCATGCTTTTGCATCACGATTTCTGAAAGCTCTTTGTTCTTTATCAGAATATACTAAAAACATATTATATTTTATGACTTACATATTTAACATGTCTCAGTACAAAGTTTTTAACTTACCTTCGACTTCCAGATGCAACGAAACCACCTAATTCATCAATATGCATTTTCATTTGCATTTTTCGTGAACCAACAGCACGTTATTAGAAATGCCATTTCTTCGTACATCTACAGAGCTTTATTAGATTCTCCATAAGATGGGTAACCTTTTGCTTCTTCATACCTGGATCTCTTGCATTTATGCATGAAACTCTGCAACAAAAATGAACATGCAGGTTCACATTAACTACTTCAAACTTCTGACACCGTACTTCCAATTGTTGTAACTTACCTAACTATTAAACTATTAAATATGAAAACTATAACTTTCAGAAAATACACAAACCAGTCTATATTTTTTACTATCTATTTTAACATTTCTCACAACAAACTATTTTAATTTACATTCAAATTCCAGATGCAGTGGAACCACTTAATCTATTAATTTGCATTTTCATTTGCATTTTCGACAAAACCAAGGGTACTTCATTACATTCTCTATTAACATAATCAACCTTTTGCTTCTTCCGACATGAAGCTCCACTATTAACCTTTTGCAAAAACAACTAACATGCATGCATCCTCAGATCAATTACTTTTTGTTAGACGACAACGACTTGTCTAGAGGGGGGAGAATAAACAGCCAAGCCAAAATCACCAAATAAATTTTGAGTTTTAAAGTTGTTTGAAAAAGAGTGCACGCGGAAGGTTTTGGTATGAATTGACAAAATTCGTCTATACGAACCTAGTTATTGGAACTCGGATATGCAAAGCCAATTATAGAATGACAAACACAATAATCGAATTTAACCTTTAATCGAGTATCACGTTATTACTCATTTAAACTAATTGACCTAGTAATGCTATTTCTAATGATAATAAGCAAAAAATATTTAACTAAGCAATTTATCAAACACTTGGTGTGCGAACGAATTTTCAGAATTTTCTTTGTGTTGTTGTTGATATGAAAACCGAGTCGATCGATTGAACAATGCGATTTGACAAATTGTGTAATGAAAAATAAAGTGAGTAAAGAGATATCGACACGATGATTTGTTTACGCATTTCCCCACTTTCGTCCTCGTGTGTGGATACGCCTGCACCTAATTTTCAATGTGAAATTAGGATACTTTCTTACTATGCAAAAAGTCGATGTACAAGAAAAGTGTTCAATAGCAACCATACAAACACTACCGGTTCTGATGTTGATTCAACCCTTTTTCTTCTTTAGATCTTGAGTAAGACCAAGACAACAATGATTGTGAATTGACTTTTCGGCATTGCTACTCCTTTGCATTCTTTATCTCCAAAGCTTTCGCGTACGATCAATTGCACCGATTTTTCCACAAGACTTCAATTAGATTCGTTGTTCTTTGTTACTTCCTTTGTGTTCTTTATCTCCAAAGGGTCCTTTGTGTACTTTATCTCAAAAGGCTTTCACAACATCGCAATCCTCTCTTGAACGTCTTTCACGAAAACCTCCAAATATATACACGATCTTGGAGAACAAACCTGCGGTTTTTCCGGATGAAGACCCCTACAAATCTCAACCCAGTACCTCGGCTACACAAGAATCCAATTGAACCTTATCAAGCCTTCGCCTAACTGGAACCCCAACAAAAGATTATTATGTGTGATTTGTCAGTGTGTAGACATAGGACGGAGGTTGAAGATGGAGTAAATGCAGGCTAATGTTATGGTATCACCGGTTTGGAATGAAGCATGAATGATGTATTTACAGTTTTGAAAGATTAGTGGCAAAGAGGTAATTTTTGGAGTAAAATAAATGAATAAATTTGACCCACTTAAATAGCATGTGTCGGCCTGAACGATGGATGTGCCGACACATACTATCAAAAATAACAGCATGTGCCAACATGAAAGGACATATGTGTCGACCCAAATCAAACAAGACTACGGTCTTATTTATGACAGTAGATGTGTCGGCCTGAAACACTTATGTGCCGACATATAATGTTGAAACTTCCCGTATGTGCCGACCGAGATAGCCAAGTGTCGACCCAACCAAGTCAGAGCATATAGGCTTTAATATTGAGTTGCATGTGTCGGCCTGAAATGTCTATATGCCGACACATGTAGTGCATTTTTGTGTAGAAATCTGTTTTTCATGTTCTTAGGCAAGTTCAAGGTGGTTTTTGATGATTCCTAATACCTCTAATGCAAGGAAGCCACACATACTCAGAGTTGTTGTCCAATATACCAAAATGAAAAGTAGTTTCAATGTTTTGACATCATACAAAACATCTCATGGCGAAGTTGCACTCACATACTCCCTTTTTTTTATGATGGCAAAACTTGCGACGATGTATTTCATGTTGTTATTGAAGGCTCCCCCTGACGTTGTGGTTCCCAACTTCATCTCGCATATAGAGCAACAATCACATATCCCCATATATATATATGTAATGATGCAAAAGTTGATAAATAACCAGAATTACAAATCAACACAAAGTAGAATTAAATAACTAAAGCAATTAAAGATAAAACTCATCAAGTTGCTACAATTGTGTCACATATATCAACCATATCATAAAAGAACTCCCGATGTTGCATAGGCATGTTCCTAGCATAGCGACAAGAACATGTCACTACTCAATCCAAGATGAAAAACGTTATCAAAGCACGAGACACGCAACCACAATAACAATTTATGCAATTAACAAGCCTAAATACAATAAACAAAATGAGCCACAAGCTTATACACTTAAGAACAAACTTATACAAATGCGAAAAAGTTAATACATGAAGTCACTATAAGTATGTACATTGAGAACACACAATGGTTGTCAATCAAAAATTTTGGAAATGGACATTCATGGTCTTCATCATTTGAGAGAATATCAAGCATTTTTAACCAATAAATAACATGCTTTAAGAAAAGTCTTACTTTCAAGGAGAAATTAAAACAATATTACCTCACTCTTGATAGGATGAACGATGCACTCACATGATGTTAAAAACTCAAAACGAAACGTTAGAGCAATAGTATAAAGTGCAAGCCACAAGATAGAAATTTAAAAGACATTGGAGATATCAATGATCCCCAATTCTCCACGAATGTTAAAAAATGATTATGTTGCAAGAGGTTTTATGAAAATATCGGCAAGTTGATTTTTACTATCAACATGCTCAAAAACAACGTCCCCTTTTTCAACATGATCGTGAAGAAAATGATGATGAATCTCAATATGTTTAGTGTGAGAATGTAGTATCGGATTCTTGGTTAGATTGATTGCACTAGTGTTGTCGCACATGATAGGAATATGTGAAAGTTTGATGTCAAAATCTAGCAATTGTCACTTAAGC